ATGGTTCAAACTTGTTGTTGACTCACCGCTTCACAGTACTTGACCTTTACAGCCGAATATTTCACCGGCAATCGAATGCCCATAGAGTAGCATATTAACGATTAATGTCTCAGTTATTATTATTATGATAAAGTAAACAGGTCTTCTACTAATTCATCATCAGCAACTTATGGTGTTGTGATGGGAATCTATTGAAGACAAACAACCTCAGAAAATGAACCCGTTTGTTTGGTGAAGCATACAATTACACAACAAATGTGTTGTCTTTCACGCTTTTTCTTTCTTTTTTCATGGTCCTAGTATTGAAAGCTATTCAATTGTTTGTTTGTATCTGATACATATCCTAAAAACGTATGCTTGGCTCTGCTTCACAGTCTTTCTGTTCACTCACAGCAATGACACAGACAGTTTGCAGTTTCCCATGAGGAGTCTAGCTGCCAATAGGCAGACTCGATTCAATCAACAGTGGGTAGCAGCCGTGACATGAATTTCTTGTTGGTACTCAATTGTTTGTTTGACCTCCACACAAATTTTCAATTGTGTGCTTTGCTCTTCTTCACCGTCTTTCCAATCGACCACAGTGGCACAGACAGTTTGCAGTTTTGATGCAAACAAAAGCAATTTCTATAGAAACAAGAAAATCAGAAAGGAAACAACACGCAAACACGCAGAGCCAGCCAATCTGCTCCGCATAGCGCTAGTACTGATTATACATAGAAAACTTTGAATTTATCAACAAACAAACGGCAAAACACTGGCAAAACATGGGCAAATCTCCAGCTTCGAAGGCTGCCTCGGCTAATACAAAAAAAGCTGGGCGTGGCTAAGTCCAAGGCTTCCTCTGGGATATGCCGCATTTTGTGGTGAATCTGATTAGAGATTGGAGGCAGGCCGGCTTGATCACCCTTTCTGCAGGGGGGTTGGTGATTCAACATCTTCCGTCGTCATGGAATTCAATCATTGTTTAACACTTCATGGTCTTGGTGGTGTTTTCAATACTCCTGTCTATACTTAAAAACATTTGTTAAGTGAGACATGATGAAAATCGTCCGCAATTACCGTTAGAATTATCGTCAATTACGGTTAGAATTGTCGTCAATTGTCGTCAATTGTCGTCAATTGTCGTCAATTGTCGTTGACGGTCATAAGGACCATTGACAACAATGTCTGGGTCATTGACGACATTTTTCTTTGTGTCGATGGCTTGCGTGCGCACATGCCAATCCAGTAGCAGCTCACAACAAAACGATGGCGGTTATTATTGTACGCATGCAATGCCGTCAACTCCGTGGATTTTGTACTCAATTACCGTTAAAAATGTTGTCGATTGTCGTCAATGACCGTCGACGACAATTGACGACAATTGACAACAATTGACGACAATTGACGACAATTCTAACGGTAATTGAGTACAATTTCGGGTATTCGGAGAAAGTGACCAAAGCTTCGTATTACTTATTGTGATCATAAGTAGAAGCAATCGTGAAAAAACCTTCATTCATTAGATTCTCCGATGCATGAATTACCGTTAAAAATGTCGTGGTTTTTTCTCAATTACCGTTTCAAATGTCGCCGATTGTCCTGAATTACCGTTAGAAATGTCGTCGATTGTCCTTAATTACCGTTAAAAATGTCTTGAACACTCCAAGGCAATGACCAAGGGGACCAACAAAAAACTTTGCTTGCTGTTAAAAGGCGTTATTCGACTCCTACTCGTCGAGAAGGCTGTTACAGACGTACCGGTAATACTTTACGTAGACACATCATCACAATCTGTTGAGGAGTCGACACATCATCACAATCTGTTGAGTAGACACATCATACAAATAGGACATCTAGTTTATTGGTACAGTATTTAGTTCAAAGACACCCTAGTTTATTCACTCTGGTGGTACAGTATTTGCTTCAAAGATAGGATGCCCATGGTCCATCGCATACTGGACAAGAACAGCCACCGCTTCAAAAGCATAGACGTGATTATCGGGGTTGTGATGGTATGTATCGAAGAGGATTCGATAGTCCTTCAGTCGACCATTCAAACTCTCATGCCTTGACCGGAGACGAGACTTAAATGTGAATAGTCCAGAACTGTCGCCAACACATGGCAGCATCAGTTCGTCGTTGTCCTTATACTTCGAATCCTTGTAGACTCGATCGCAAATGACTACTTTGCCTTCAGGAATCTTTTCTCTCAACCCCCCTCCTTCTGCAAAGATCGCTCGGTCATGCATACCAGCCCTCCACGGTCCGTGAATCCAAACGATCTTTGGCAAAAATGCGTCCACTCCAATTTCATATTTCAACGCCCCATGATGAAACTTGTGACTGTATTGTTTTCTATCGACGTTGTAGTCGTCGGTCGATCTCTCGTAGGTCCTAAAATCAATGCCGTCGACAGTCAAGAGGATTGTTCTTCCGGAATGATTGTACTCTTCTTCAGGCCAGCTGATCACCTTGTGTTTCAGTCGCCCAAGTACTCTCACCCAATGCCAGAGAAACTCGCCTTGGACCATTCTTTCGCTTGTCCCAGTTGTGTTGGCGAGAATGATGGCATTTTTGGGATACGCCCGAAGGAAGTGGAGTGCGATGAGCAATCGCTTGAACCCCTTCTCGCTGTTATCTGATGGGTGGAGCCCCAATTCTTCGTTCTTCGACTGCAGAATATCTTGCCAGACAAAACAGATAGTGCTGGGGGATCATTGTCCACCGATCACTTGCTTCCGAGCGAGGCTCACATTTTCAATTTTGAAAACAACGGTTCAGTTAGCACGATCGAGGCCGTTAAAATTGTCCCCCATTACCGTTTCAATTGTACTCAATTACCGTTAGAAATGTCGTCAATTGTACTCAATTACCGTTAGAAATGTCGTCAATTGTACTCAATTACCGTCAGAAATGTCGTCAATTGTACTCAATTACCGTTAGAATTGTCGTAGATTTCTTGTTGGGAATTTACGACAATTTCGGCATTTTACGCGTCTATCAACGGCTACATCAGCTCGTTTGTCCTTCGCTCGGAACAATTCATGATTTTCCGCTTCGGCGAATGCACGACAAACGAACTAGAGCGAACAGTGGCGGAAGAATTAACGCAATTTCTGCTTGTTAAATACTCGACTGGTCACTTTTAATTTGCCCTAAGTCAATTTCATCATGAGAGACACACGTACTAAAAAGAAATACTAGAAACCCGGATCTAGGACAAACTGCGGGGTATCCCTGTAGGGAAAAAAGCGATGAAAAACGACTGGAAATTGATTTGAAACAGCCCAAAGACAGAGACCCTGTCAATTCCAATGATGTCAACATCAAGCAAATTGCCAATGATCAAGACGCTCTACGAACGGCCGACGAATTCGAGGCACAACGAATCGCCAAGCGAGAGTTGCGGCGTAGAGAGGACTACAATAAACTGGTTCCTAAATTATCTGAGTGGTGGTCAAAGAAATTGTACTGTGGTGAAGCAGTCAATCAAGGGATGCAAAGAATGGATCGCATTCAAACAGGCAACGCCTTATTTGCAGCCTGGGATGATCGAAATCCAGGCGCTTGGAATCAACCTTGTTTGCGATTTGATGCCCTGTTCAACGACTATGCAGGCACATCAACATGCCACGATCGATTTCTTCAGATTTTTACTTATGACCCCGATCCACGAAAAACCCCCCCTTCCCATACCCACTTTCGGGCTTTTCTAAAAAAATATCACCATAGAATTTAAAAATGGTCATTTTTAGAATACGTGGTATTTTAACGCCAATAAGACAGTGCAAAGGGCAATTTTTCGGGGATTTTAGCCCTATGCTCGAAAGTACTTTGCGACAATTTTTGATTGCGGGATGATGAATCAACTGATTCGCATCACCACTCACGATGGGACAATGATTGAGGGCGAAATGGAAGCCAAAGAAGGTAACTACGCCGGCTACATCACAGACACCATCTACAACACGTGTTCCAGAAGAGCAATGGGGTTTGATTTGCAATCATGCAAGGTCAGAGAAGTGGTGTGATAGCTATCGACGAGAAAATGAAACAAATTCGAAAATAAGGAAGAGGCTGGAAACGACACGACCGAATGAAGGATTCCTCTTCCCTTTCCTTCCCTTTTTTTGTCCCCAAGGTCTAAGGTCTGTTGATTGTTATGTTGGAGAGCTACTATGGTTTCCATGTTGCTGTGGCAGCTGCTGATGGCAATTGATGAAGATGTTGCTTGATGAGAATGGCGAAGACTGCCACTGTGGAGAGAATGGAATGAATTAAAGAAGACGAAGAGTCGTAGGTAATGTAGTATAGGCTTGGATGTAGGTAATATGTTAGCTTTGTTACGTATTCCCTCAGTACTGTAGTGGTAATGTTGACAAAGGTGATGTCTTGGATGCCATTTTGGTTCCATCGGTACGGAAAATTTCCACGAGGCACTTGGTGGAATTTGCGCGCGAACCCGGTTTTTTCCGTACGTCATCAGTTTCAGAACCCATTGCGCACTTCTATGCGCTCGCCCGTTGAGAATTCTTCAACCACATCAAATTTTCCTTCCGTCGGCAATGGTGAGCCTCGAGGCCGAGGAAAGCATCACCCTCTGGAGGAAAACTCGTGGGTCGCGGACATTCTCTGTATCGTACCCGAATCCACCTTGTTTGTATGAAGTGATATGGATGCATTTGCCATTCTCACCTCTGAAATCACTGCTAAAGAACCTCAACAAGGTACGAAAACTACTTTTCGAGAGGTTTCGGGACGTCTACGAAGTCCCAAGGCAACATAGAGCTAGAATGTTCTGCGGAAGTTGCTTATGTTGTTATACTAACGGCAATGATACCATTCTATATTCTCTATCTGGGTTCCTACAGGACAATTTTCAACCCAGACCATTGAGTTGCAAATTCGTCAGACACAATGAAATTGCACGGCCTGGACCCCATGAGTAGAGAAAGTGGAATCAGAGGTTGTGGCAACCATAGTTGATATATATGTTACGTCGGGAGCGGCAGTAATTATGTTGAACATCTTTTTCTGGGCCGCAATCACACAATAATCCACCATGATTGGTTCCGTTGGTTGCTTGGACTGGACGGATAGGTGTCAAGAAGACGTATTTGCCGAGTGCGACTCATATCTACCGTCACCATCAAGACAATATCTACACAGAGACTCGTTCGGAGTGTCGAACTACCAAAATTGACGATTTGGAGCACATCAAGGTGCCATGGTGCGATGGTTCCCCTCGTTTGGACTGGCCAGTGTGGACGCCCAGAGAAGTAAAAAGTGAAGCACATGTTGTGGCAAGCGTATTTGATAGATAGACTATGGCTGGAGCGGCCATTCATACTTCTATTTGCCTCAGTTACACTACAATCTACCTTGTTTCGTTCGACTGGTTCTGTTGGGCTACCGAAACTGGTCGGCAGAAAGTCAAGAGGGCCAGTGCCTCCCATTCAACATGTGCTGGAAAGCTCGGCAGTGATCCTACCTACTCGGGGATCCATTCGGTTGTGTTTTGTTATGAATACTTGTTGAGATATTGGAATTCCAGTGTTTGGTGCTGTCTGTTCCCCTTTCAGCATGAAGGTCGGCGTGGCCGCCCTGGAGACAGCCAACCATTCAACAATACACCAGAGCCTCCCTTGGATGCCTATTGTTCAAATTTTCTGGGACCCAGGCAATGGTTCCGCCTAGATTAAGAATCATGCCGCCCAAACGGGGTTAGAAATCATGGAAATCTGGTCCAAAAAGCCACTTGGTGGTGGTGTGGGCCGGATTTCCTAAAAATGCCTTGTTCTAACACATATTTGTCGTCCATGGGTATGCATGAGAAGATTGGTGGCTTTGGAGTGGACATTTTCTAGGTAAAAGTGATTGAATAGCATTCACACTGCTTTTGGGATCAATCCAGGTTCATGAAACAATGTGGCTGGAACCCTTCTCAGTAGCCGAGTCGATACCCTGACACGATGGCACCAAGTTCAAAGTTGGTCAAAATATATATAGTAATCGAATTTGGGTGGTGGTTTGGAGGGCTATGGCGGAAAAAAGAATCTAGGATAGCATAATTTTTTTCTCTCTTTCCTACTTTTCAATTGACTTTGTGGAATGGCCTGAAATAAGATCGATATACACAAAGATCTCTAATTCAGAGTGGACCCAATCCTAGCAAATATATATACTTATAATATCGCATTGAAATTTATCTAAGAATGTAATCGCAACAAGGTCGTATGGTACGAGATCAGCCTCTGGCCTCTTGAGTTTTTTTTGGCAATCACACGAGTCAATATCAAGTCAATTGAGTCAATTTGACTAACGGCTGTTTTTTTAGCCGTTACCAGAAAGTTGTTTTCTGCATTGGAGCCCCTATAACACCCCCTATGAACTTGGGATTTTTCACAAGGGATGGGCAAAGTATTCTCTAGCGCTTTGAAAAGGTTTTAGGTCCGTAGGTGTCTTTTGAAATTTTTGCTTTGTCCCAAGAATTCCAAATTCCACCCGAATTTTGGGGGGGTATTTCGTGGATCGGGGTCTTATCTCAACTCTGATAATGCCCAACTGGCTCAATATCTCATCTCCTCCTTTGATCCCTACACAATCAAGGATAAAGCAGCCGAAGACGTCTGGTCACTGCGAGTTCTTGCAATGCGAATTTCATTGCAGAACCCTTTCTCGTTCTTTGGTATTGACGAATTTGAGAAAAACCAGAACAACAATCAATTCTTTGACGGGGACAAGTCGGATCCTCGCCTTTGTCTGGAAAATCCGTTTGTTGGCTTTTGGTTGATTTGTTCTGAAATGTTTGATTATCCATGGGCAACAACCTTTGATGACGACTATTATAACGAGCCGCCTTCGTCAATCATCCGTGGCATCAACCAAATCAGGACGATGATGACGATGAAAGACTAGTGACGGAGGTCCGAAACAATCCAAGACGCCCACCACTTTCTTCAGATGATGAGGACGACGGAGATGAGGATGATGATGATAATGAGGATGATGATGCGGTGAGCAATGGTGGGGTGGTTCAGACAGAATCTGTAGAAGCACTGGGGAGGTCAGAAGACGACAACATGGGGGTCAACAGCTTGACAAGCCCAACTCAGGTCTCTCAGGACAGCTCTTCATTGATAAACACACCTCCACCTACACGTCGCCTACCTCCACCGCCCACTCTTGCTGAGAAACTTAACAAATTAATTCAAGTTAACTTGGATGGGATGACATGCAGATGTCATATTTTCGAGACCACATTTGCAACAAATTACTCGGGATCGGACTCTGGCACGGTTGCTGAGGCAATTTTATCTGCGGTGCTGACATCAATGGAGGAAGCTTTGAACAACTCCTTTCACGAGTTGAAGATCCTTCCTATCTCCGACGACACTTATAAACAACAGAACCGGTGGATCCGGAACTCGGCTGAGTTACGCAACAAAATTCCGTCCTACCGGGCCCTGAGTCTTTACTGCGATATGGAATATGGGAATTCTCCTTATGCAGCAATCAACAGCAAGCCTGGCGAGAAGAAACTACGTACCCGAATGCGGGTTGGCTTTGCAAGGGACACGTCGGAAGAGGCGGTACAGGACTATCTTCACACTGGTCTCCGTTCCCAGGGTCGCGGTGCCGGATGTTACCCTTCGCCGCTTCAATATGGGGACATTGTTAAAGTGGGTTGCTTTGCCTTCATTCCGCCGGAGGTTAACTTTGAAGCCTATGCGAAAGAAATCATGCGTCACTTTGACTTCTCTATCCCTATTGGAATCAAGATGGATTGGGTTTCTACACCTTACACAGGACGTGCTAAATTCAACAAACGTTCCCCCGGTGTAACAATTCATGCCAAAAGAGTGGATTGAGAATTAAGAAGCCTTCTTAATCCATCCACAGCAAAGCCAGACTTCCCCTTCGCTGCTCCGGCTACATTTATCAGTGATTGGAAGTCTGCTCAACAGGGACTGATCAGTGTGAAGGCCTACGGTCCGGTCAAGGATGCTACCCTCACCCTTATTAGCAAACTATGTGATTACTACATCCTGACAGAGGTCCTGTATTCGGTCATGGATCTTCCTGGGATGTTCAAGTTCGCAACTACTACTATGTTTGGCTCATGCACCTTTTTTAAGCTTCTCTTGTCGATCAAGGCAACCCCAGCTCAAGCCGACAAAGCTTCTCATACCCACCAATCAACAACTGAGACTGATGACTCAGACGATGACTCAGACGATGACTCTTCTGACGACAATCCCAATGAATCCTCTGGCTCTAAAGTCGGTCAATTCACAGAAGTTTGGTCTAAGAAGGCGGCAACAAAGGTGAAAAAGAAGGCAAAGAAGAAGAAGAAGTTGATCACTGATAATGAGAATCCGTTCCTTAACAATCTCTCCCCAGCCCAACGGAAAATGGCTGAGGTGGCTGACCGTAAGCTGAAGAATGATCAGGAGCGTCACAAGTCCGGTCCGCTGTTCTTGATGGTTCTACCAGGCGAGATGGAGGGCACCTACATCCTGGTGTGCCGCAAGAAGTTTGGACAATTGGCTCGTAACTTCTTGAAGGGCTTGGTCCCTTTTCTGACTCATCACCTGTATGAGCCAACTCTGACAAAAACCGATCAAGCCCTCCATAAATGGGTTCCGCAATCAGAGATCAGTATGGCTCGACGTAAGAACCTCAAATGGTGCACAAACACACTTCGTGCTGTGGAGGCTACCGCCTCGCCAGGCGCAGTTGAGGAAGCACTGGAGTTTCTGGATGATGTGATGGAAGACGCAACGGATGTCTATGATGGTCAACTCTCGATTGATTTGGATATGGCTAACAACAAAGACATTGATGATGGGAAGACCGTGACGGGAATGATGGACGAGATGCAGGAACGAGAGCAACAACTGGAAGATGCCTTCAATGAGATTGAGATTCAGGACAATGCACTGGAGGCTCAGGAACGCGCCTTGGCACAACAACGTGCGGACAATGCGACACTGCAAGCACAGCTTGCTGCCCTCCAGAGTCAGGCCAGCCATCTACCTACCATGATGAGTCAGCCATCTCCCACTCTACCACACACCAATCGCGTGTCTCCTGACCGTCAAGCATTGACTCCACCGGTCAGATCTAGCAACAGAACCTTAGGCAAGTCATCCACCGGTCAGAGCACTATGGTTCCCAACACAGTGACACAACCAAAGAAGGCCACCAAGCAGGGCAAGCCACCAAAACAACCAGCCAAGAAGGCCCGATTTCAGGAACCATCTTCTGCCCAATCCTTGGCGGCCTCGGCTGTTCAAGTAGACACGTCTCACATGGAAGGGGACAACACTACTACCGCGTCTCAAGATGAGAGCCAAACCTCATCTCTTACTGCGTCTACTCCGCGAGATGGAGGGTCTCCATTCGTCTCTCCTCCTTCTGGGAAGGCGCACAGTGATGGCGCCAGTAAATCCTCTAGGTCCGCCCGCGGAGCTCCCCGCTCCGCGGAGGGGCCATGAGAGGCCCACGATCGTCTGCAGCTAGGTCACGGCGTGCAGGCAGAAGATCCCGTATTAGTGGCCCGTCAAGTGGAGTCTCTCATGCTTCACTTGACAAATATTTACGTTCTCTTCCAGCAGGGGATTGGTCTGGCGATGATCACCACCGTCATTCTTCACTGGCTACTTGAATCTGTTTCCAGAATGTCAACGGATTACCAGAAAATGGCAATGACTCCAAGCAGCAACAGATCAACTCCTGGCTGAAGGAAGAACGAGTGGGAATTGCGTTGTTGGCAGAGGCCAAGATGTTTTGGCCTTCTATCAATGAAGGTCACGGTTGGAGTGACAGACTCCGCCAAGCTACAATGAAGTCCGAGCAAAAAGGGTTTTACTCATCAGTAGCTTACAATTGGCATCAGGACAGATCTGCTGCCACCTCGGCGGTACAATGGGGCGGGTTCATCGCGACCGTTTTGAACCAAGTGGCGCACAGGGCTATGGAAGCTGGCAGAGACCCCACGGGTTTAGGACGATGGGCCTATGTTTGTCTCCAAGGAAGGAAGTTGAAAGCCCATGGGGGTAATGTTCAGGACTCTTTGGTTGAGGTAAATGACTTAGTTTGTGGTCCGATCTCCAAGGACTTGGTGGTTGTCTCCGCGTATCGTCCCAACAAGCAAGGCCTTGGTGGATCTACAGTATGGGCACAACACAGGCTTCACTTTCATGCAGTGAATCGAAAAGTTAATCCAAGGAAAGCCTTTGTGGACGATCTTTGCAAACAGATCACCAAATGGCGTGATGAAGGATGTGAGGTGGTTTTGGGTATAGATGCAAACGAGGATGTCACTGTTAACGCACCCCAGTCTATCCGCCACCGCTTCCAGGCCTGCGGTCTTGAGGAGGCGATCCTAAAACACCATCCACCGCAAGCGACCCACCAGCGCAACCAACGGAACATTCCGATTGATGGTATCCTCACCACTTCGGGCGTACCAATCCTTGCGGGTGGGTACTACGCCTTTGACAAATTCTTCAATTGCAATCATCGCGGATTGTGGATTGACATTGATCTTTCCGCTTCCAACCTCAGAAATCCAACTTCAAGCCACGGAAGTTGTCCCTCCAAGACTCTCGATCTGTACGCAAATATCTTCAATTGGTTCACAAAGGTTATGCCAAGTACTCCATCCCGGAGAGATTGAATAAGCTGAATACGCGTATTGACCACCTGGGACACCAGATGACCCCTTCCTTGGTGCGCAAATACAACTGTTTACACAGACAAATGTATACTGCAAGGCGCCAGGCGGAAGAGAAGTGCCGGGCCTTAGCTCCAGGTAAAGTTCCCTGGTCACCAAAAATGCAGGGATTCTGGGATTGTATGAGCCTGTGGAAGCTTCTGTTGAAAGGCAAGAAGGGTTGCCGTGTGAGTTCGCGCAAAGTTCGCCGGTTGATGAAGAAGACAGAGTTGCCACAAGCTTGGGGGAAGCCAGAGGTCGATCTGGAGGACTGCCTGAAGCAAGAGCGCTCCTTGTACAAGCAGGCCAAACACACCTAAGCAGCTCGATGGAGGAAAGACTTCTTGACAGTCCAAACCAAGGACGCAAAGAAGCATCTGTGGAAGTCTCGGAAGGCCCGTGATAGATTCTTTCGGTTACGACAAATGAAGCAAAGAGACGAGGCGAGACGCCGTCGTCGCGCCCAGAGCAAAGGATCTACAGGGGGCCTTCAGGCTATTCAAATTGAAGAACACTTACCAGATGGTACTACAAGTCTCCGGACCATCACTGACCGCCGCCTTGTAGAAGATGGGTGCATGCAAGAAAACATGGCACGCTATGATCAAACACGAGCGCCGTATACCACTCCACCTATGGCCAAACCGTTATATAGCAAATTTACCGGTGACAACGCTGAAATAAATTCTCTGGCATTGTTAGAAGGCCGTTACACATTACCTGATCTGTTGGACCCAGCTACGGCTTCTTTCTTATCTCACTGCCGGTTTCACAAAGGGCACTCTCCAGTCCACTTGCAAGTCTCCAAGGACGATCACGTGTACTTTTGGTCGCGGAACCCTGAGAATAAAGGATCCGAACCTCATGGACTGCATAATGGACACTTTAAGGCGGCTATCCAGTCTCCATCTATAGCGTACTGTGATGCCCTTTTCCGGAACATTCCTCTCACCACAGGCTTTGTTCCTCTTCAATGGCAAAACCTGATGAACTTTGCCATTGAAAAGAAGCCGGGAGACTTTCGCCTATCTAAAATGCGCACCATCCAGCTGATGAATTCCGAGGCCCAGGCAAACAATAAGAAGGCAGGCCGTGCAGCCATGCACTTTGCCGAAGCGCACTCCTTGATACCCGACGGGCAATGCGGCTCACGCAAATAACCTGGCCTTGTCTAAAGGATTAGTGTGGGATCTACTGATCCTTCAACGCCGCGCAGCGGGGTGGATCTCGAACGATGAAAAGTCCTGCTTTGACCGTGTTGTCCACTGGGTGGCCATCGTCACAATGTTGCGGTTTGGCTTGACATGGCGTGTCCTATCATCAATGTTCAACATGCTCTCCTCCGCTACCCACCGTGTTCGCACAGGCTTTGGTGACTCCAAGAGAAGCTTTCGCCCTCCGTCAGGGGTGCCATTCCAAGGTTGTGGGCAAGGGAATGGTGCCGGACCCCCCATTTGGATCTCGGTGAGCTCGGTGTTAATCACAATGATGGAAGCAATGGGCTATGGATTTGAGTGTCTTTCGGCGTTAGAGTCACAACTAGTGACAGCCCAATGTTTCTGTTTTGTTGACGATACGGACGTGATTGAAGCAGGTGACACGGTCCATCACTCTGGGGAGGATATTTGCGCCTCAGTCCAGGCTGCTGCCACCTTGTGGTCGGGGGGAATTCGGGCAACAGGTGGTGCAATCAATCCGGAGAAGTCCTTCTGGTGGCTTATTGACTTTGAATGGGATGCTTGCAATGGTCAGTGGAGATTCCGTAGGAAATGCTCCGCGGCATCGGAATTCGACCTTAAGATACCGGGGTTATACGGTGACATTGAACCCCTTCGTCGCCTTGAACCAGATGATTCCGAACGTACTCTGGGGGTGATGTTGTCGCCACTGGAAAATCACAAAGCACAGGAGGCACAGTTGGTCTCTAAAGCTAAAGAGTGGGCCAAACAGCTTCGGCCTCACCTGCTACACAAGTACGACGTGTTACCACTAATCCGGACCACAATCATGAAGAAGCTTGAATATCCTATGGCACTCACTACCCTCAACGCTCAACAATGGCAGGACATTATGTCACCGGTTCTCCAGGTGTGCTTACCTAAGTCAGGTGTTTGCCGCAACTTTCCCCGTTTGGTGGTCTTTGCCCCGGTGGATTATCAAGGCCTTGGTGTTCCTCACCCCTTTGGCAAGCAAGTGTACAAACACTTGGAGATGATCCTGCGCCATAAGTCGGGGGGTACAAAGACTGGAGCCTACATGGACGCCAATCTCCAGGCTCACCAACTGGAAACCGGTACCTCCTTTGGTCTTCTACAGCAAGATTACCAGAATACGTCCATTCTTGCTTCTGATACCTGGCTCAAACGGGTATGGAAGGAACTTGAATCTCTGGATATGTACGTGGCCTTTGACTCTCCGGCCCTATCTTTAAGGTGTCATCATGACGCCCTCCTGATTGACTTGTTCATGGATCTCAAGGTTGATCAGGACGACCTTCTCTGGCTTAACTGGTGCCGGATGTTCCCGCAAGTAGCCACAGTATCAGCTATCACTACGGCTGATGGCCGCTATATCCGGCAATTCATCTGGAACGGTTTCCGCGACGACACTTATCGGACTCCATATAACTGGCCTCAAACGGTACGACCCGGGCGTCCATATTGGGAACTCTGGCAAAGAACATTGTCCCGCGCGCTCTTGCCTTCACACGGTCAGCACCACCCTCTGCTCCAACCCCTGGGACATTGGCACGACCACTTCAAGTCTTGGAACTGGCTCTGGTCGCCGACTGTTGGTTTGTTTCATCGGGAGGGGGCTGCATGGACCCATCTCGCCCTTGTAGGTTCCTCTACAACTTCTCGGCGCTATGCTCCATCTGGCAGTCACAGTGGGACGGATAGCCTACAACGACCAAGTTCTTGGTGGACTTGCCCTTTGCCTTCTGACGTCCTGCATGCCACAGTGAGGCCCCTCTCCGGTAGCGACTGGGTGCTTCTCACTGGTACAGGTCTCCCAACCTTGTCTCCCTCTGACCCGGCCCTCTCCATCCTCAACGCCTGGCAAACCTCTGTCGACCTCTGCACAGACTACTATGGGTGGGTCCCTGATGAGATTGAGGTACATGGGGATGAGGCTGCCTTGGCCGATGCCCTGATCCAGGGCCGCCTCAGAATCATCAGCGATGGATCATACAAAAAGATCTGGGAACTGCTGCTGTTCAGCTCCTTCCCAAAGGGGGAACTGCTCGCATTGTCATCCGTTGTCAAACTCCAGGCTACCTCAGGATCAGAGTGCCTATCGTAGCGAGTTGATTGGCCTTCTGGCTGGGATTATGGCGGTCGACTGGCTCCTCCAACAATGGTTCCCAGCCCTTAGCCAGCGGCCGGGTGTCAAGATCGCCTGCGACGGCCTTTCGGCCATTGAAATGGCCTTTGAAGATCGACCCCTTTCACCCACTGATGCACAATTTGACCTGATCTCTTCCATCCGGGAAGCCATCTCTCGGTCTCCGGTGTCTTGGTCTCCACAGCATGTCTACGGACATTTGGACAAGTCCAACTTATTTGATGAACTCACTTGGTGGGAAAAGAAAAACCTGGAGGTAGATGGCATGGCAGTGGATTTCCGCAAGGAACTAGAGGCCGCCCACCAACTTATCCCCCCCAATCCTCGGTTCTTCACGGAGCTGGCAGCTCTTTTTGTGGCTGACACAAAGCAGTCTCGGCTGAGTGACCACTTCATTCAGGAGTGCGTGACACTCCCCCGCCTGCGGCAACAATGGAGGAACCGTAATGTGATCTCTGAGGAGTCTGAAAACCTTATTGACTGGGAGACACTGGGTCGCGCTATGCGGTCACTTCCTGCCGGACTCCAGCGCTGGATTACAAAACATTGGGTGGGCATGTGCGGCACGGGGAAGTTCAAAGTGTATTGGGGCCTCGAATCGTCCGCTGCGTGCCCTCGGTGCGGCGAGTTTGAAGATCACTTGCATGTTCCCCGTTGCCCAGCAGCCTCGGCTAGGGACGAATGGGATCGGAGGGTGACCGCTCTCTCGCTCTGGATGGATATACATCTTACCTCCCCCGCCATCAAACATGCGATACTCCTTCTGCTTCAGGGTGTTCGCGATTCATCACGTCCCACCTCTCGTTTGATCTCTCGGACCATTCGCCCGGCCTTTCTGGCACAGGAAGCTATTGGGTGTCAGGGACTTTTGGAAGGCAGACTAGCCTCCTTGTGGCTGTCTCTGCAACAAAATTATTTTGACAAGATTCACAGTCGCGGTCGGTTTCTCTGTGGGCCTCCCGTCTCTCCCAGCAACTCATCTCCATTGGGTTCTATATGTGGGAACAACGGAACGCCGTTCAACATTCGGATGACAATGTTCAGCTCCATGAACGTCACTGTGCTGTCAACGAGGGGATTCACTCTCAGTTTGATATGGCTTCAGCTGATTTACCTCCGGATATTAGAAGCATGCTGACATGCCGTCACAGCGTCCTCCGTAAGTCACTGGTGGACAAGGAAGAATGGCTGAAGCTACTTCGACAGGAGCGCAAGGACTATCGTCGCTCTCTGTGGGCTCAACGCCGTAGCCTCCGGACTATCATCTCTGCTCCCCCCTCCTGAACGCTTCCCAACGTTCGTGGGACAATAAGCGCCCCGAATTCACCCCGCCTCGCCGTGGGAGAAGTCATTCTTAACAACATGACTTGAGCAACTTCTGTTTAGGTACAGATGCCTCCCATGGTTCAAACTCGTTGTTGACTCACCGCTCCACAGTACTTGACCTTTACAGCCGAATATTTCACCGGCAATCGAATGCCCATAGAGTAGCATCCTAACGATTAATGTCTCAGTTATTATTATTATTATAAACAAAAGCAATTTCTGATCATAGGTGGGCTGCAGACATGTCGCGGTGTTCCGTCACAACAACAAAGGATAAAGCTGCCTCTGCTAAATGTCCTAAACAGCATGCACATGCATGGCCGTCATGGCCGTCTTTGTTATCACCAGCTACAACACCAGTAATCTGTAGTTTTGTATGACCAAAGGGTGTACCGAGGATGGGTAGCCGCAAGGACTCATTATGCAGCAAAGCAGTGACAAGCCTGCAATGGATGTAAGCCTAGGGGTGGAATTCCATCTCATATTTTGTGGCCAGAATGCTGATATTGACACAATAAGTAGACATGATTGCAAAAGTCTGTAATAAGTGCGTGTTGACATTGCTCCCATGAAAATAGAAGTACATACAGACAGATTGTAACAGTTTAAGAGGAAAAGAGTTTCACAAATGTTACAAAAATGCCAGTGTCAATAACAATCCATAGTGCAATCTACCCACATCCAACAATTGCATGCAAATCCAAAATCCACAACTACACACAAATATTGAGGAAATATGCAAAAGTCACATTTTCTTTTCTTTTTTGATAGGATTATTTTATTAGAGCATACCAGCATTGTACAGGTATAGCAAACAATCTTATTCATCCAAAACAACAGATGATGTGAGTTAAGATTGTGCAAATTGGAATCAACATATGTTTTGTAGCTTGACAAACTAACATTAAGTATGCCCACAATGCAGTTTTTCCCTTATCCTTCGTTTCTTCTTTGTTCTTTTTCTTGGTAGCAACATTATCAACTTGGTTGGCAAAAAACTCTGTCAATGGTTCAGATAGAACAGTAGACACAACTTCACTTCCACCAGTGTTGTCATCACAGTTGTTGCGGCTAGTAGTTCCATAAGGATTAGGAGATACATTTCTAGCCCCAGGATTGGTTGTTCTGCAACGGGCATGCAAGCCCAAACCCTAAAGGAATAGAACCTTTGTTGCTTGGTAGCAACAACAACAGCAGGAATTGATTCTGAAATCCTCAAAGGTTTAGCAACTTCTGGAGTTGGGAGGAGCTCCTTAACTCCTGGGGTCAACAGCGGAGGCTCAGCAATGCTGGTGCAGGAAACGGCAACATCAATGTTGCCTTCAGGATCCTATTCACAGTCACTGGAGATGGCCCCATTGACAAAATAGCCGGCTTCAAAGTTTTGCAGATCTTTGTCTGGAATATCAAAATCCTGTGTGATCATATCAGGGTCGCTAAAAATGGATTTCTTCTGTGGATACACCAAAGAAATGAGGTGAAGTGTCACCTCATCATTAGCAACCTTTTTGGTTTCACCATCTATCTGAAGCAGACCTTTCTTACACCAGCCAATGAGCATGAATCCACCCAGCAAGTTGATCAATCTGACCATCAAGCAAATTTGACGTGGTAACAAATCAAAATGGTTGCTTCCCTCCTGGAATGAGAAACACATCAATAATCATACACATTCTGGAAGAAGATTGACATGGTCTTCAATGGTTGTCACATGTATAGCCAAACTGAACACAGTGGGGTCTACGTTGTAAATAAAGTCAAATTTGTAAACCAGACTAGATCCAACTTTTGGCTTTGATGCAAGTACAACACGAATCCTTTGGCCTGGTTCATGGTTGCCAACTTGTGAGACTGCTCCTTTAGC